GAGGCCATCGCGATTAGGAGGCCATAGCTACTCTGGGTGGAGGCCATCACTACTAGGGTGGAGGTCATCGCCACTAGGTTGGAGGCCATCGCTCTTAGGGTGGAGGCCATCGCTACTAGGGTGGAGGTCATCGCTACTAGGTTGGAGGCCATCACTCTTAGGGTGGAGGCCATCGCTACTAGGGTGGAGGCCATCGCTATTGGTTCTTTGCTAGTAATATTTGCTACAAGTTCTTCATCGATTCTAAGTCCCCCAAGAATTCAACATATTCAGAGTCCCAAGGAACTGGCTTTAACACCCAAAGCAGGTTCGCCCATGTTCGCCCAACAGTCAAGCAAGGCCCTCCAAGAAAAGTACCCCAATAGTTTTCAAATACATCTCAAAAAGCTTGCAAAGTGCTGAAAGTAATTAAGTGATTCAAGACATAAAGTTCGCCCAAATTGCTTGAACACCTGTCACAAAACGAGGTGCCTCTAAAGAGGGCTCGAAGCTCTATTCAAACATAATATTTCTGCCTTTCTGCCATGCAGTTTTGTTGGATCAGGGCCTGCCTGATTCCCTCGAGAAATAGACGGCACAAACATCAGGACATCTGGTCAGCTATCTTATGGTATCCTGCACCCGGTGGAATGTCCAGTATTTTCCGCTTCAGAACAGCGTGAGACCAGGGGAATAGCGATTTCCAGGGGGAAGAGATGGGAAGAGAGACCGAACCTTTCGCATGAGACCTCTCTATTGCCCTTCTGAGAAAAACGACCCGCGCCAATGGCCCTTCACGGCTCATAACCGGCCGGGGCCCCGCCCGCGCGCGGACCGCCCGCCTGTGGCACCATCACCGACACGGCAGCGCCCTTGGCGATCTTCGTCCAAGTACTCGAGGCCGTCAGCGTCGAGACCTTCTGGTGGTTGATCTCCTCCACCGAGTCACGTGCGTTCCGCTGAACTCCCGCTGGAGGCCAAGAGCGCGGGGGAGCTCGGGTTCTTTCTCGGGAGGGTGCAGGAGGTATGAGGAGGTATTGATCGGGAAATCGAGCCATCCTCAAGCAGTCGCCCATGTTGGACAGATTGGCCGATTTACAATCTGGGGCGTTCTTCTGGCGTCTCCCTATTTCAATGCACCACTCCACGTGGTGAGCGACTTTGACAACTGGTGCTCATAGGGCTAAGAATGAACTAACAAGAATCAACTTCCCAGTGCCAACGGTGCGGTATCAGCCCAAGGAGGTTCGTCGATATGGTAACCATCTAAGTCAATCAGGCCTCCCTGCAAATGTTTAAGACGACCTTCCTCATGTTTCAGCATACTCATCGCCAGGATCCCTCAAGTTAGGCATTCTTGCCTGATTTATGCATATGGCATATGGCATGACAAAGCAACAAACCACCAAGAGTGGCCAAACGCTCCTTGGCTGCTGTCCGGCAGTAGATGTCATCGCCTGACACAGGAAAAGAGTCCCTGCGCTGTGACATGTGACATCGATTTCATGACGTCTATAGCTCTTGCAAAAGTGATGTGGCCCAGTGTGAAGTTGGAAGAAGTTATCAATCGTTATCAACATGTGCTGAGCCGAAGAAGAAACACAGGACACAAGACCAAACCATTCGATCCAACTAAAAAACAAGGCCACAACATGCCACAACTTCTCGCCTTGTCAACACTTCTTGCCAACCGCGGTCCGAACGAAATCGCGGTGAGCTCATGTGGCCTGAAATTGAGATGTGGAAGCAATCAGCCTTGTCCTGGACGAGTAGCCAACCATTGGCCCCCAAATTGTCTGGGCGGAACGGTTCACTCGAAGGCGCACGCGGTTCACTCGAAAGGTGTGCCTGTTTTTGAGGTGTCCCATCTGTCGGACGGGTCCTTCTTTTTCAGTCTCATGTTTGTTTGGCGATGCACACATTGGAGAAACATGTCGTTTGCGATGCAAAAACTGCTCCCCAAATACACCAATCATGGAGTGTTTTTTGTTTTTGTTCCCAGGTGGCTTTGGGCATTGGTGCATTAGGAGGCTAATCTCCGGAAGTGACGATGGACACTTGATTCCAGTCATCACTGATCATCTGCTGTATTTATGTCTGCATTACACCAGCCATGGTGCACAACCCCACTTCTGTCGTTTTTCTGTGACGCACCGAAGAAAACCGAAGATTTATCCAGGATCCAAGCCAGGCCCTTCTTCATATATGTATATATTTGGGGGGTTAATGTAGGCATATATTAGGCATACATGGAGTGTCTGGGATATATATATATATAAGTTTACAAAGACATAATCATAAAATAGACTTTCATGTGTGGCTCGTATGTTCATCTCCTTTCTGCTGTGTGGCTCTGATGGGTGACATGAAGAGCCAATACAAAAAACCATCGTTTCTCTCACTGCTTCTTCGTGGCTGGCAGGAATCTTATAGATGGCTCCATCCCGGTTGGCTCCATAGAGGAAGTTGCTGCCCCGGTGGATGGCAATCGACGAGACATGGCCACTGCAGGGACCAGGTGCATCAACGGGTGATACCAACAGGTGACACCCACGAGCTAGCTGCCGCTAGCTGCTAGCTCATCAAACGAGCACGGAGTATAACACAGCAAAACCTTCTTGCATCATGAAAGCCCTTCAAAGGAGACCTTTTGCTGAGAAGTTCATCTTTGGTGCTGATGTTAATACTGTATATCATGTATATATTTAAACATATATAACACAACCACCTCAGTGACTCACCACTTTCATCGACTCACAAAGCAGTCAGTGTCTTCACTCCACACCTGGACGTGGCCTGGCTCCAATGGGAACTGGCGTGCATCCCGCTAATGCTCTGGCTGTAGATCAAACCATTCTGAGGCTGTGAGACGTGGACCGAAGAGTGTTCGGCTGCACGTCGTCGAGTGTTCAGCCCAGTGTTCTTTTCCCGGTCCCGGTCTGTCTTCTCCCCACTGCACATGGCAGTGGGAAGAAGAGCCCGAAGCTCCAAACCCTATTCTGTTCATTTTCGGTGTCAACCAGGGCCCCCGGGTTTTGACCCATATCCGTATCCACAGAGTGCAGCGCGTTTCAAGGAAGAGTGGCTGGGATGGCAAGGATGGGAAGAGCGAGTGGCAATGGTTTGCTTCCACTCCCATGCCTCTGATTTTTTTCTCTTTGCTCATCCAAGCATCTGTACCCACGCCGTAGAACGTGTCGTCCACCGTATCTCCATCGAGGATATCTCCACGAGCCAAGGGGGCTTTCACCCATTTGCTCATTGTTTTCAGCAGTGAGAAGGGCTGACCGTAGAGCCTGACTGAGAAGGGCCGCCCCAATTCAAACGTGTCCCAAAAAGATGTTTCGCAAAAGAGGTTATATACTATTATATAATCATATGATATATTATATCATATTCTCAAACATTGCAGGATCTGTGGAATCAACATGAACTACCGTCCCAGCCCAAGGATGTCCAAAAGCAAAGCCGCACAGATTGCCCAGGGGTTTGGTGTCGAGGGTGGGGGCCAGGTTTCAAAAGCTGCTAAGACTGCAGGGCCGAAAGAGAGCTCGAAAAAAAAAGGTCTTAAATTAAAGAAACATTACCAATACTCCTTAGATCCCCTAAGGATGGATCTGATTGGATGTGATTGGTCTGTGTCAGTGCAGTGTTCGCGGTGCGTGACAAACACGGAAAAGACTCGTCTGGAGCAAGTTCACGGAAGACTCTTCGTACTTGGGTTTTCACACGTTTTCGCCCAAGGCGCTTTTTGTCCGTTCCAACCCCAATGAAATAGTCCTTTGCACTGATCAGTGAAATCACAGCTGGACTTCCCACCTCATCCGTCGCCACGGATGGAACAACGAGTGAGCGACAGCTGAGCCAAGCCAAAGAGGAGATTCTTCTGGTCACCCTCAGGCTGTTTCTACAGTATAGGTGTTTCATCTGGCATCATGTTTCATCCTTTTTCATCCTGTCTTCCATGGGTCTTGGACACGGTCTTCTTCTTCGAGTGACCAAAAATTCATACCGGCATGGTCCTCCAGAGCTGTCCAATAGAGTAAGTCCAATAGACTGTCCAAAGAGCTTCTCCCCAGAAGTGGACGACCCACTTTCGACCCGCATCACGACGTCCCCGGAGTTCTCCCCAGCAGCGTGTGACGACGTCCAGCCCGACAGCGAACCCAACACCAGCAACTCCGTGAACCCCGAAAACAAGAGGAGCTTCTAGCTACTAGGGCTAAGCCCTTAAGTTACTAGTCGCTTCTAGCCCCTTGAGTTGCTAGATGATGTTGCTAGTAGCTTCTAGCTACTGCTCGTTTTCAACCATGATTCTTCGAGAACCAGCAACCAACGAGCCTGCCCTTTTTCCGGTGCGAATTAAGTCGACGAAGCCGGACCCAGCAGCCCAGGGACGAGCTCCCAATTCGTGGAGGGTGAAAGCCCCGCCAGTGGTTGACGGTAGATCTCAGGAAAAAAAAACCAGGCCGTCAAGAAGCGGACAAACACTGGCAAACAAGGCAGGGATATTGAGTGTTGTGTCGACTGTGTCGACTAGAATCCCGTAACATGTACCTACTGTATATGTGCCTCACATCGCGGGAAAAAAACTGTTTTGAAACGGCCCCACATCGCTGAATTCAAGATAGCAGGTACAAGTGCTCACAGCGACGCATTGGCAGCCAAAAAGAGGGTTTGATGTTGAACATGACATTGTTCATTCTCACAATTCAAACTGTTTACTGAATGACATTCAATGACACAAATCGACTTCCATTTCATCGAATCGACATTTCATATATTCCGATTATATATATACATATAAATAAAAACATAACGATCATGTCCAGGGCGTCTTGATTGCACCACGGTACCCTCTCTTTGCAGCAAAAGCACGTTATGATCAGTGCCGGTGATATAGATGTACCTGGACAAGGTTGCTGACATCTGAATCATGCAGAGTCTTCACGACCAAGCAATGAGCACGATCGGTCGTCACATCCAAACCGTCCGCTCCGGAGCGGTCCGGAACGCGGACGGTAAGGCGCGTTCTCGTTCAAGCCGGCAAAGCACCGAGTCTTCGCGGAAACGGACGGAGAAGCGGATGAGATGGCGGTGTGTTTTTGTGAATCCAAGCGGCTTTTGGGCATCTTCAGCCATCTCCTTGATCTTATCGCATTTGGGGTTCGTCTTGTGTCCTGCCGCTACAGTCCAGCGAAAGAGGATGCAGTGTGACATCGTGGTTCATCCATGTTCATCCAACTTGGCCCAAATTGGTCAATGAGTGAGACTCATGAGTGAACCACGGCAGTGCAAACCCAGAGTGCCCACGTCGCATCGGTAGACTTGCGACGGCGCCAGGAATGGTCCCTTCACATCCTATCACATCCCCTGGGAGTCAAAGACTATCAAAAGAATGGTCTGACTAGGTTGACCCGAGCTCAGGAGTTTCCTTTACATTCAGTTGGTCAAAATATAGTCGAATTGGACTTCTAGGGCATCCTTTGTCTTTCTAGGGGCATGACTGAGTTGGTCCAAAAAAATGCAGATCATACAATTACATACAAATACCATATAAGCATCCTACGAGTATCTATTATTGGGATCCACGACCCATCCGTCCGCCCGTCTCGGACAGTCCGTTGTTGAGAGCCTCACAATGGCCGCTGAGCCTCATCCTGAGGCCGCGCCAACTGGGCCCGACTAGGCCTTTCATTCCTTTTCCAACAACTGGATGTGTTTCCTTCCGGAAACAGATCTAGAAAGGCATCCCTCTGCTGTTCAAATGAACACACACACAAAGCATGTCTCAAAAAACAAAGAACTTAACTATATATATATATCTCAAAACAACTGCCAAGAGCCGCAAGAAATCCTCACCGCCTCACCACTTTCTTTCTCCGGAATGATGCCGCAGGCCGGCCAAAGACAGACGCTTAAGCATACGGCATGCCATTCAACTGTCAGTGAAAAATAAACGCTGTCTCACTGTCATGATCTAGCTGCAAATTGAAATGAATATGATAAACAACATCCTATACTTGGTCAAACAAATGCTAGGCCGAACACCATGTAGAACCACACAGATTCAACCAAAGGACCAAAGGGTCTGTTCAATCTGCATTGACCATTGACGTTTGAGAACTTCTTTCGATTCTGTGGATGCTCCAGTGATTTGACATGATTTGACCACTAGAAGAGACCGTACATGGAGGCTGACTGGGTACCAAGGTCTTCCAGGTCTTCCAGGTTCTGTGAGCTCCGAGAGTAGGCACATGGTCACAAAACACCCGTCGGGTCGGACGTAGCTTCACCAGGTTGAAAGTTCAACCAACTCCAGGTTGGAAGCCTCTAGCGATATAAAAAGGAACGGAGAAGAACCCAAGCTAAGACTTAAGAGCGATGGCCTCCAACCTACGGATAGCAATGGGCCGACCGGCCTCCAAACGAAGAACAACACCGTCAAATCCTTTGGGCTGCCGAGGTGCCAAACGTGGCCCTTCCAATAGCACACCTGCCGTCGTCTTCGTCGTCGGTCCAACGGAGTGTCGGACATCGGGTCGGTGCACGAACTGATGGAACTGTTCATGTCTTCGTCTAAGAAATGGTCTATGCTACCGAGGACCGTCCGTTTTCAGGGTGTGGCTGGAGATCGACCTATAGGTACTGCTTCGGGTAGTCCGTCGAGCGCCAGGACACCCCGAAAACGGAGGGTGACCATCCATCCACTTGGAACATCCATGGCCCAAAAAGCCTGAAAATCCAAAACCAACACTGCTGGTGTTCTTGTTTTCAATGATGTCTTTTGGGTCCAAAACTGGATGAAGGGTGTCTACACAGTCACAGAGTGGTAGACACAATGGTGCTGCCTTTTTCCATGGTTTTTTCGTTCACAGTAGGGCTGAAAGCACCGAGGAACGACTCAAAACGGACGATGAGCAAATGGACTTAATGGTGTGGGAAAATGAGATGTGAAATAAGACGGCATGATTTGTGACGCCAGGTGAGTTATGGTGAGTTGTGATGTGGTGAGTTATGGGTCATTGCCAGGTGATGCGTTTTGTCCGTGTCGCGCAGTGACTTGTGTTGCGGCGCAACAAGCACAGTGCTGTGGTGAAGCAGACTGAGAAAACGGAGCATGCACGAGCGAGGAAAACCGCAATTCCCTGGTGTGAAGACTTGAGTGGTGGATTTGTGATGAACGCACCCCTCGATAAATACTTTTTTGAATCTTTTTCCCGAAAGCACTGCGAAGGGTTCTTCCGGAAAATCTCTTGAACACTGACACTTCTACACTTACACTTGAACACTACACACACTTACACTTGAACACTTACACTTCTGCACGTACACTTGAACACTACATACACTGACACTTGAAGACTTACACTTCTGCACTTACGCTTGAACACTTACACTTCTATACTCACAATGGCACAGACGTATCCAAGTGAAAGTTGTAAGTGAAAGTATCCCAGTGTAAGAGTGAAAGCATCCAAGTGCAAGTATGCAAGTGTAAGTACTCCAGTGCAAGTATGCAGGTGTAAGTAAGTATCCCAGTGCAAGTATGCAAGTGTGAGTATGAAAGCTTTCACGGGAGATAGCCTAATGAAAAAACATTTCCCCACTTTATATTAAATTCTCTCTAAAGGCGGAGGGTGGGACGAACAGCGTCAACCGAAAATGGAGCCCTCTGCGGCAATCGTGCGTGTCGAGGGCGCGAGATGCAGGCGAGAGTGCGATTTGTCCGCGGGGCGCGCCCTCTGCGGAGATCGTGCGGGTCCAGGGCGCGAAATGAAGGCGAGAGTGCGATTTGTCCGGTCCGCGCGCAACCCTCTGCGGAGATCGTGCGGGTCGAGGGTGCGAAAACCAGGTGAGAGTGCGATTTGTCCGGTCCGCGCGCAACCCTCTGCGGAGATCGTGCGTGTCGAGTGCGCAAAGTGCAGGTGAGAGTGCGATTTATCCGGTGCACGCGCAACCCTCTGCGGAGATCATGCGGGTCGAGTGCGCGAAATGCAGGCGAGAGGGCGATTTGTCCCATGCGTGTCGAGTGCGCGAAATGCATGCGAGAGTGCGATTTGCCCCATGCGCGCGCAACCCTCTGCGGAGATCGTGCGGGTCGAGTGCGCGAAATGCAGGCGAGAGTGCGATTTGTCCCGGACGCGCGCAACCCTCTGCGGAGACCGTGCGGGTCGAGTGCGCGAAAGCAGGCGAGAGCGCGACTTGTCCCATGCGCGCGCGTAGCTGGGGAGCTGGAAGGTGAGAACTGGCGACTGGCTAGTGCAACTTGAGTGCGCGGAGTATCTGGGGAGCTGGAAGATGAGAACTGGGGACTTGGTAGTACAACTTTAAGTACGCGGAGTATCTGGGGAGCTGGAAGATGAGAACTGGCGACATGGTAGTACGACTGTAGTGCGCGGAGTATCTGGCGAGCTGGAAGATGAGAACTGGCGACTTTGTAGTACAGCTGTAGTACGCGGAGTAGCTGGGGAGCTGGAAGATGACAACTGGCGACTTTGTAGTAAAACTTTAGTACGCGGAGCACCTGGGGAGCTGGAAGATGAGAACTGGGGACGTCATAGTACAACTTTAGTAGGCGGAGTCGCGGAGTAGCTGGGGAGCTGGAAGATGAGAACTGGCGACTTGGTAGTACAACTTGAGTACGCGGAGTATCTGGGGAGCTGGAAGATGAGAACTGGCGACTTGGTAGTACAACTTGAGTACACAGAGTATCTGGGGAGCTGGAAGATGAGAACTGGCGACTTGGTAACGCGGAGTATCTGGCGAGCTGGAAGATGAGAACTGGCAACGTGGTAGTACAGCTGTAGTACGCGGAGTACCGGGGGAGCTGGAAGATGAGAACTAGTGACTTATAGATACACACACACACACACAGACAGGGACTCATACACACACACAGACATAGATACACACACACACAGAGACCCACGCGCTGCCTCAACACATAACTCACACTCTGACTTCATACGTGATGAAAAATGCTTTCGGGCCACTCGTCGTCTAGTTGATATATACTTCTCTCGCAAAGTCTCTTTGGCTAATTCACTTGTAAGTACAAGTTGATAAGCTTTTGGATACTTTTCTCCATACGTACACTCCTTACTGTTTGACGCTTCTTCTCTACAATCTCTACTCTTAAGGATACTTTTGGAGACTCCTCTTGACAACCCTATCTGGATAGCTCTACTATATGCTCTACTAATATTCACTCTAGAGAAGCTCACATAACTTGATGGTTCATCATACTCTCAAGTAATCTCCACAAACCTCAACCCACAACACACGACTTTCGATTACACACGACGTTTGGTCCAGAATCTGTTCGGATCATCCGATCCGGGAAACCTCCATTCGAACCACCTAATTACCTTTAGTTGCTACCTCTCGGCTTCCTGCGGCCGTGGAATTCTGCACGCGTCCCGCATGCATACTGCGGGCGACGCACGGTGCTGGGCTTCGCGGCCCGGTCTCCACAGCTCTTGACCACCAATACGCGACAGAGTCGTGGGAAGTGTCCCGGTCGACGTCGCTTCATGTCGGATCGAGTCACTTTGAGAATGAGGAACCATCTCCAGTTGGGCAAGGTCTCAAGGGGAAAATGGGACGTGTTCACCAAAAATCAACACACACAGCCAAGTAGCTGATTGACTCATTTTTCAATCTGTCTGGAATGACTTTGCGACTTGAGAGCCTTCTCAAGGTTGATCAACGAAAAAGACCGTGTACGAATACGACTCTAACTTTGCAGCTGTACTACTCATTGGTTCCAATACCCATGGTCCCTGACCCCCAGAAAGAACACAACGGGTCCGCGGTCCCATGACCCGTCCGACCTCGCTCGACCGGAACGACTCACTGCCTGATCGAGCAAACCATCACCGTTGCAGTCCTGCGCGTGACGCGCGCAAACCTCGCGCGCACGACTCACCGGACGGGCGAGGGCACGAATTCGTGGAAGAACACGGACCCTTTTCAAAGGACCGTTTTTCTCCGCAAACGGCCTGAAACGCGGGTGCGAGTATCTGAAAGGCATTGGTGTGTGTGTGTGTGTAACCCTTGGAATCATAGGGATCCTTTAGGATTTTCAGGTTGCTTTTCCAGTTTATGTCATAGCAGGGGGTGCAAGCAGCCCATCCAGTCTTGCACCAACGAAGACACTGGATGTGTGCTGGTGAAATCAATCCGGGACACCGGATTGACGTACCTGCTTGGAAAGAAACCTACTTAATGGACAAGCTGTTCCAACTCTGTGTTTTGCAGTAAGCGGCTAATGCAGCGGTGATGAACTTGGCTTTTCTGCACGTATGTCGTCTCCTTGTCGTCCACTCGATCGGTGTTTTTCTTTTGGAATTGCTGGCCACCTGAAACCTTGGGACCTCCGCTGGATGGACCTCCTCTTCCTTTTAGATTTCTTTACCTGTACCCTTAGGAATTGGAACCCTAGGCCGGCGTGTGGCACCGCTTTCAGTTCAGTACACCCTATCCTAAGTGTGTTTGGCCTCGTGCCAACCCGGGATGAGCCTGCAGAGTGCCTCCCGTGGACCCGTTGAACGGGGGTACGTCGAACGTATCCACTGCCCGGATACAGAGCAGCTCGCAGCGAGCGTAGGTGGCCTAGGCCGTGCGTACGATGATTTTGTCTCATCTTTGGAATTCCAAGTTGGCTCATGCCTATACGTGACCGCAGCGGTCAGAGGTGGCAGCCCTCGGGCAAGCCGTACGTAGTCGCAGCGACCGAAGTTTGTTCAAGGTTCATTGGGACCTGCTGGCGCCTTAGGTTTTCAGTTGATCCGATCCTCCCTCTCGCCATGAATCCTTCTCCGGCTGGTCTCACTCCCGTGGAGGGCATCACGATGAGGGCCCAAACTATTCTACATCGAGAAATTCTTCACGTACATGGCCTGCTGATCCTCGCTATTTCACTCCTCCGTACTCGCTTTGCTATCCTCTCTCCCTCCTTTCTGGACTACATCACCTCACCACACCTTCAGGTACAGATCCGCGGACTTGATTCGGCAATTCGCCAGGCAACTCAGGCTGTTCATACCGGTTTGCACTACATTCAGGAGCTTCTCACTACCTTTGGCATGATTCACGCCTTGACCTACGACACTGCTCAAGTGGATGCCGAACTACGTGGACGCTCTACTTTTCCCGACCCTCGTCTTCCTCCTCCTCCTGTTCCTCCTCCTCCTCCTTTGGGCTCCTCTTCGACTCGACGTATGACATCTACCAGTTCTACTCCGGATGAACCATCGCTCCCTCCACCTCGGAACTCTGCATCACGCTCTACACCTGGCATTGTGGTTACTACTTCGAACCGCACTCTCTCCGCCGCCGAGATTCGATCTATTGCAACTCGTTCTCGCTCTCGGTCTCACCCTCGTTCGTACCCGAGGAATCTATAGACTTTTCCTCTGTCCATCGCGCCACCTACTGAAAATGTGCACCCACACTTCTCTTCCTCCTGTACTTTTACTTTCAATTTCACATTGCATATTTTTCTGACTTTTCCATTTTCTGACTTGTGACACAATATCTTGGTTCTCGCCTGTTATTTTCGCCTTTTTCGGCTTTCAGCCTTTCCTACGCTCTAAGCCCTTCCGGCCCCGCGCGTTTCGTGTCGTCTCGCCGCCATGTCTTCATCGCCTACGACGACATCGACTCGTCCCACAGGATTGGCACCAGTTGCCGGCTTACCTCCCGCCGCTCATGCAGTACTTCATCGTGAACTTCTTCATATACACTCTTCTTTACATTTGATTCTCCTGATCCTACGTGGACCTTGGGATACCGTTACTCCCTCTATCGTGGACACGATCACCAGCCCTCATCTTCGTGCCACCCTTCGTGCCCCCGAGACAAGCATTGAACAGATTCGACGATCTCATTGGTTTACACGGACGAACTATGTGCTGCTTTGGCACTTCCACATCCTACTGGTCGCTTGGTCTCTTCTTCCCACTCCTTTTCCTCATCTCTGGCCGTCCCTCCCCTTATCATATCTCCTCCTTCTCCACCGTCGACGACTACAACGACGACTACCACTGACCCATCTCCTCCTCAGAATACTCACCCTCTTCCTCCTTCTTCGACCCCCACTTTGACATTGATACGAATGCCACGCTCTCGCTCACGCTCTCGTTCACGACCACCCACGAGACGACTTTAGGTGGATTTCTCACTTACCTGATCAATGAAGAGTAGAATTTCTAATTGCCAACCTTTTTGCAAACGCAGGCAGAGCTGCGCGTCCTTTCTCTTGGGCATAAAAAGGCCTATATTTCGCTTTTGGTTTCGGCAGAAAAGAGTCTCTTATTCTCCACACGTCAACTTGACTACCATGTTTGGACCTCTGCGACATTGATACACTATTACCTCTTGTTTTTCTTCACTAACCTTGGGCTCACTAGCGACCGCTCCTTTCGCCCCCCCCCTTCTTTGTATTTTGCCGCCTTCTCTGCCATGGCTTCGACACCTACACCACCTTGTGGTCTTGCCCCGATTCCTGGTCTTCCACCTCGCGCTCAGGCAATGCTACATCGTGAACTTCTACTCGTACATGTTCTCTTGGCTCAGATCCATTCGCTGCTGCACATCCCGCTCAGCATTCGTACCCTTCCATTTATGTATCGTGTGACACACCCGCAACTCCGAGCTCAACTTGAAGGATTAGACAACACGCTTCTTCTTGCCCTTCGCCTCAACCACACTGCCGTGCATTACATCCATGAGCTTCTCACTGCCTTGGGCCTCCTTCATATCACTCAACAGAGTCCAGAACAACTTGAAGATGAACTCGAAGGTCGCACGGACTTTGGCGATCGCGCATCCCTATCTACACTTCCTCTCCCTTCTCACTCTACTACGACTTCATCAAGAACTAACAGGACCCACAACACCGCTGACCGGATGCCTCCCTCTTTTGAACCTCCGCCCTCTCGCCTGGTGCCTCGGCCTCGCCTTCACATCCGCTCACGATCTCGCTCTCGACCTCGTTCGACCAGGTCCTAACTCATTCGTTTCACCCAGGACTTTGCCAGAAGGAAAATCGATGCTTTGTGTCCTTTTGATGATACTTTTGTTTTGCTTCATTATTGACCGCATCTCGGATTTGATTTGAACTTCGACTTTTTCTACTCCTTACCTATTCATACTGTCCTTTACGGGCTCAGTCTTGCGACATGACTACACATGAGATGACTACCCACCTTTTCTATCTCATCTACCGTTTCCTTTTCCATTTTCCATTTACACATCCTCTCCTTTTTCCTTTATTACTTCTTGACGATTCACGCTTTCCGGGCGACTTCCAACCTCCCCCCAACACGTTCCAGCTCCTGTCATTCCAACACCCATCGCCGCCGACAACGGACAGGACATCACACTTCCTCTCTTTCGGCACCTCGCGCTACCTCACACAGCACACCCGTCTCACCTCCTGCCTCAGTGCGCCCTCCTTCTGATCGGGCCTCTTCTGGGGCGCCAGCACTGGTACTACTACTACCTGGACCCGGTGATCGTCCACTTTCACAACCCACACCTCCAGGCTCCACCTCCATCTCACGGCCCACCACTCCACCTCAAGCATTTCAACCACCTCCTGCCGTTCCACCTCTCAGCACCCTCCCTCCCACCGAGGCGGAAGAACTTCGACAACTCCGCTTTCAATTTCAGCAACAACAACATGCAGCCCATCAACTTCAACAGCAAGCTCTCCTTCACTCCTCTTTCAATCCTTTCTTTTCCCCATTCCAACTTTACTTTCCACAACCCACACCATCCCCCTTGCCCATCCCCGCGGCGCCACCTTCCACCGCCACACCATTGAGCCCTCCACCAGCTTCAGCCTCCCTATCGGCTCCAGAACCAGAACCAGTTGAACCGGAACCAGCCGACCTCTCCATTTCCCTTTTCACATCTCAGGCCTCCACCCAGCCCCCGGCTTCCACCCTGGCGGCATCGACCAATCGATCTCCCGATCGTTCACTTCGACCTGAGACTCCCCCACGATTGTCTCTCCAATGGTCTCGGCACAGACCTGACTTTACCTCCCTGGAACATTCAGGTAAGCTGGTGTACCTCATGGACAATGTCATGGAGATCGCTATCGATTTGAGTCCTCAGAAACACATTTGGACCACACCTTTTTGGCTTCACATTCGCCCATCCGGCCCTGTTGACCTTTGGCACGAGATATGTGAACACCAATTTCACGATTGGAGTGCCCTTCTCTCACTGGTCGACAAGTACCGCAAGTACCTTATTGAGGATCCCAACCGTCCATTTAGTTGGGAAGAATGTGAAGCTCCTGAGGTCTTACCCCGCACTCTTGTGGACACCACCATCCAACAGCTCGTACGCCTACTACCAACACCCCTTCGTCGCGTCCCTGCGACTTCTTGGGGCGACCACTTCGGGGACTTCATCACCTCTCTCACCCACATTCCCCAGATCCTTGAGAAGGCGCCAGTATTTCTTTGGGGAAAACTTCCTTGCCATGATTCCCTGGTCTTGCTCCTCAAGCTGCACTATCCCAAGACCGAATACTTCCAGTGGACCCCACATCAGACCATCTACACCTTTGTTCACAACTGCCCTGGAGTTTCCATGCGAGGCATCCTTACGGATGGCGTCATTCGACCAAGCTCTTGGAAGGCCACACGGGATTCGGACTTCTTTCCCAGCCTGGGCTTCTACTGCCGCTGCTGCTATCCGGGTCACAACCATACCTCCGACAAACGGATCAACCCGGACATTACAAATCAGCTGACCCCGGAGCTTCAATGTGCCCTTCACGTGGCATGTGGATTTGGAGGCCGCTCCTCCTCCCGCCGGTACTTCGTGGCTGGAGAGTGCTTCTCCCGCCAAGCCCAGCGCTACGTTGTGCGCCCAGGTGGACTTCCATGTGATGCCATCGCCAGTCACTTCTATGATGTTGTGCGGAATCGTTCAGATCAGAGGTACAAGTGCCGCACTTCTTCCAGCCAAATTCAATATGCTGGTTTGTTCATCAGTACGGACGAATTGCCCTCTTACGGCCTTCGACGATCTGACATTCCACTATGACAATTTCGTCCACGAGTACCATACACTCCTGGCAGCGTTGCGACAATATGTCGCTATTTTCTGCCGCTGAAGCTGTCTTCCTGGAAGAAAAGAACGCCTGTTTACCACTTTCTTCTGACTTGGTTCCTTCCGGTTTCCTTTTCCTGAACCTTTACTTCTCGACTAATATCATCTACGGCCCTCTCCTCCTATTTCGGCTCAAGCTCGTGTTGGTCCCCTACTCGTTACCCTTCTGTCTTGTCTTACAACACGATGGAGGCTTCATTTTGGACTACCATGGAAACTCACCCCCAGCAGGCTCCGCTGGGGATCATCAACATTCTGATCTCACGACGCGCTTTGATGGATTCGATTTCTCATTCCTTGGAGGTACTATTTGAGATGCCCTACACCACTGACTTCCCCCCTCGCCTTCCGGCTGACCTGGAACAGCTTCTCCGTGATCTACATGCTTCTACGGAGCGCTTGATGGCCGAAGTCAGCCAGACAAATCAGCTACTGCATCGTCTCGCCTTGTACCCACCTCATGCTCTACCGACTCAACCATGGATGCCCAATGATGCCGCACTACTACCTCTACCCCATCCATATGGTCCGGATTTACCCTCATTCAGGCCTTCATCACCTCACTAACTCTGACTCGGGCCACAAGCTGCCCTCTTCTGTCGATGCATCTATGTCAAAAAAGTGCTTTTGCTGACTATTTCTGTTTTATGTTTTCAACCCTTGTTCACTCCCTTTTCTTCAGAACACCCATTCCTCTGCTTTCTTTTCACTACTTAATTTTAATTTTGGTTTCTTTCCCATCTCCATTTCCTACCCTATCTACACTTCCTCACCTTTCCCTTTCTGCCACCACCGCAGCCGTTTGCCACTCAGATTGCCGCACACGTCTCTGCCTCCTCCTCTTTCCTCCCGTCCTTGACCTCATGGATCCTCCTCCCACGGGCCTACTTGCGGGCTCTACGGCTCCACCGCCACGACAGGCCGTATTCAATCCCTACCGCCTTCCGGTCAGTCCACCACCCGGGAACATCCGACCTCAACCACACCGCCAACCTGAACTTCTATGGCTCCACTGGATGGTCTGCCTTGCTGCTTGGACGACCGAGGCTCTTTGCGCCCACCCGATGATGTCTCAAGAGGTGCCACCTGACGAACATTTTCAGACTATCTCCGCCCGGAACATCTACATCCAGACACGTCGCGCTGTCCATGAGTTCAATGTTCAACAACGTCGGATTGCTCGTGGAGTGTCCCTTCTCCAACATGTTGTACCTCATCCTGATGAGAACGCTACCTTTGGTCAGTATCGTGTCAACCCTAACGGCTTTATTCGCGCCTTGGGCACTCCTGAAGAGAATTTAGCCCTTGGGACTGCAGCTGATGAAGCTCTTTTGTCCCGACTACACTCGCATCGGAACCATGATTCAAATTCACCACCGGAATCACCTCCAACTCCCGCCACTCCGGCTACACCACCACACACCTGCCCGCTCTCGCACTCGTACGCCACCACCCAATCCTCTACTCCTATTACCAGATACCTCCACATCCACCTCTACCCCATGGACGACATCCTCCCGCGGTTCTACTCCCTCTACTCTCTCTTCGGCGCTGGATCGTTCCCATCAACGTCCTCTTGATGGACGCGGCCTTCTACATGGTCATCTCTGGCAAGCTACACGACACAGGACTCCTCCACCGGCATCGACTCCGGCTGATTCTACTGAGGTTCCATCACCACCTCCCCCAGCGCCTTCTTCGTGACTTTTATGCGGCTGCTTCATTAGTACACTTTTTGACTCAGGTGGGCGTGTCCAAAAACAGTGCCTTTATGATCTCACAGATGTACGCTTGACTGTTCTCCACCGCAGCCGCTGGCTCCTGCTACTTCTTCTGTTCTTTTTTCCGATTCTTCACCCTCCTCGATGATTTCTTCCCCTGGTCTTCGTGTACCTGAACCTCTGACACAAATGATTCCTACATCACGTACTTCTTGGCGTGAAGTTCGTCAACCCTTTGAAACATTGGACATGGTACCCGACCTTGACACCGTCAGATTTGAATTGGATATCAGCTTGTTGGTCTATCAACCCCTCAACTACATCACTGTGACTCTTGACTGGCAACAGATTGACACCAAGGAATACACCGTGGACGATCTCAAAGATGTGATCTATTCTCGCTTAGGTCAGAATCGTACGGCCTTTTGGATGGCCCTTCCCTCGACCGGTGATTCACGAGTTTGGGAAGTCCCACACACATGTACTCTTGAAGACCTCGTCCTCTACTTTGTCAACTCGCGACGGGTACGAACACTGGGATCGCCACTGAATACCCCCGCGACTCCGTTCCTTTTCCCTATCGACCTCTCCACACAGTCGCTCCCCCCCTACATGATGACGCGATTGGTCAACTCCGACTACCACTGACTGCATACCAGACCTACCGTGAGATTCGTCAATTCACCTAGTCTCACCCCACCTTTGGCGCGGAGCTTAAAATCTTGCCTCCCTTCGAGGAGGCGTGTGTGTGTGTGTAACCCTTGGAATCATAGGGATCCTTTAGGATTTTCAGGTTGCTTTTCCAGTTTATGTCATAGCAGGGGGTGCAAGCAGCCCATCCAGTCTTGCACCAACGAAGACACTGGATGTGTGCTGGTGAAATCAATCCGGGACGCCGGATTGACGTACCTGCTTGGAAAGAAACCTACTTAATGGACAAGCTGTTCCAATTCTGTGTTTTGCAGTAAGCGGCTAATGCAGCGGTGATGAACTTGGCTTTTCTGCACGTACGTCGTCACCTTGTCGTCCACTCGATCGGTGTTTTTCTTTTGGAATTGCTGGCCACCTGAAACCTTGGGACCTCCGCTGGATGGACCTCCTCTTCCTTTTAGGTTTCTTTACCTGTACCCTTAGGAATTGGAACCCTAGGCCGGCGTGTGGCACCGCTTTCAGTTCAGTACACCCTATCCTAAGTGTGTGTCGTTGCTGGTAGAGTCACGGAAGCACTCCCAGCTGTTTGAAGTTCAGGCTCCAAGCAGTTTGTATCGAACCCAAGTAAAACATCCGGTATAACTGTACCCATTAGCGGGGGGGACCTGAAAAATGTGTAACTTACATTCTCCGCTCATCTCCGCTCCAATTCCATGGTTACGGGTCTCACCAATACCCGTCTTCTGTTCCTTTGCCACCTTGAATACAAGATTTCATAAGACTTCCAGATCAAAAGGGGTTTCTCTCGCGTGGGAACCCACCCCCTGGCTCCTCATGGAGATAGGTGTGGGAATTGTCATTGGTGCTGCACCACGCGTGGGGGCGGTTGCATGCGACATAGCCGCCCAGCGTTTCATTCGCTGCGGCAAAGGCCACACTGTCTTGAACCTGGCACCGACGTAGCAAACATATGATGTGAAGCATCACCTCGTTAGTAGGTTGGATGCCATTTAAGTTTCCCTGGAAATCTAGGAACCCAATCATTGGTGCGAGCGCTTCTTCAAGCTTCCCCCGCCGCCGTTGTGAAGCATCACACTGCGCGATCGGACACCACTGTACTCGACTTCGTCTTAAGCGGTCGGAAGCCGCATTCAATCTCCCCTCGACACTTTGGACACCGAGCATTCAACGAACATTCAACGGACTTGTGGGGTGCCCCCCAAGTCCGTTAAGACTTTGGGTTCCGCAGCGAAGACGAGAACATCTTGCCCCGTTGTTGTTCTTCATTTTGTTGCCCTCGAGAGCTGCCTGCGCCTCCTTCAGGGTGATGGCCACGGCGGCCACGGTGGAGGACACGAGGAGGGCGATCTTCAAAGCCATTGCGCCGTTGCGACTGTGGCCGCTTCGTTGAACGACAAGCTGCTGCAAGCCGACAGCTGCGAGCTCCAAAGCGCGTGGGATGTGTTTTTTTTTTGCGAAAAAAGCTGCAAGTGCTGCATAGTGCTGCCACTGAGCAAAATTCCATTGGTATTTAGAGAAAGAAGAAGCCAGCATATCCAGTGGCCACCTTGCCAGTTGGATAGTAATTTAATTGTGATCATGCTCGTTCAAACACAGTTGTTACAACGTCACAGCACTCGATGAGCACGAGTCCAACTCTAAAACAATTTATGCTTCAAAATCTTAGTGGCACCCTATCTTCAGCTTGCGTTTCCAGCATCATTTCTGGTTGCGTTTAGGCAAATCACCCTTTGCACCATACATTGAAATCAGTTTGAAATCATACAACCCGAGAGTCTTGTTGAGAAAAAACACTGCCTCGCCTCCAGCCGCCTTCTTTGGTGGCGGAGGCGGCGGTTTGACGTTGGGTGGTAGATCCTTTCGCGAAGAACCACACGGAGTTCCGCGATCCACCTTCATGGCCTGTCTTTCTGGCCCAAAATTTGGATGAGCAATCCAAGAACACCCACTGCATGTGGGTCAAATAGGGAGACCGCCCAGGCGTTCCGACCCCTCGAAGGTCCGGAGACCAGTCTACCCACTGCGACAGTCAGGGGCGGGTTGGGTGTTTCTTTCCAGTTCGACTGTGTCGCGGATCGTTCACCCTGGCCCATGGTCTCGTCTCCAGCTTTTTGCAGAGACGAACGGACCGGTCGGTAGGAAAGCAAAGGCCAAAGAGATGTCATCGCGAGCCGTTTCCTTTCGCACTGCAGTTTCATGCAGTTTCCATTCTTTTAACTTTGGAGAGTTAGGAGAATCCGCAGCCTTAGTCACTTGGTCAACAATGGAAGTACACATGGAATTCTGGGAGTAACCTGTGACCAACCCAGTTGGTGCAGGGTTTTTGGTCCTTTCCAAACCAACGGAACCAACGGAACCAACGCAACGAGAGAGACTGACCCCTTGACATCACCGTACCCCCCGCCCGGTCTCGCGTGGCGGGTCCACGTGGCGGGTCCGCGTGGCGGGTCCATGTGGCCTGCAGGCCGCCCGTGCTGGGCGGTGCTTTGCGGACGTCGGCACCGGCACCCACCTGAGCGGGCCGGCCACGGGTTCCAGGTCAACGGCGGAACGGCGTGGTGTTCGGCGTGGTGTTCGGCCTCGTGTTGGGATAGAAACGATGGTTTAAAGAACCTGCAGAAGCTGCGGGTGATCAAGTTTCGCAAGCAAGAAAGAACACACAACCTAGATCTTAGAGCTAATCATACTACAAAACAACGGAAAAAACAAAACACATGGCATTTGCACTTGTTTCCCACTTATCCATAGACTGTATACCGTATGTTCCACAGGTTCCACACCTCGTTTCACACGAAGGTGTCCCGCCTTCGGTGGTGGCCCCGGTGGTCGCCGGTCTGGCCGCTCGGGAAGGAACTGCACGTCCTGGCCGCTCGGGGCTCGGCATCGAGTGTACCTTTTTGGCGTCGAGTTCGGCGAGGTTGGAGAGGTTGGGATCGATGTCGCACGAACATGGGGGACAGGGCTGGATTCGTGAATCGCTAGTTGAAGCTCCCTTCCAAATGGATCAAGTGGTTGCTTCTGACACCCTGTGCTTCTGACACCCACGTGCGGCACAGCGCGAGCAGGTGATGCGAGGTGCCTCCATTGAAGGCCGCCCCTTCGGTGCAGGTCCCATCACAGCGGTCCCATCGTTCGGCACCTCTGCAGCCGGCGGGACTACCGTCGGGAGGACAGTGATTTTGCGCATGGGGAATATGGCGGTTCGGTCCGGGTTGGAGGCCGAAACTTCGATTTTGGCACCGACCTTCTTGATAGATTGCCATTTGGTCTTCCATTTGGGAGATGTTCTTTTCCCCATGGAAAGTGTGCATTTTCGAAACTGGAAAGCTTTGAAAAGACATGGACAAAAAGTCCGATGATGCTTCCGAAGGCTGACGGCTGGATGCTTCCATGTTTTCCCTGCCTGTTGAGGCGCCTTGGCTAAGAAACCCATCTTCATCATCTGTTGGGCAAAGTCCGCCTGTTCAGCGCGTACTACTGCGGCGCAACTCACCACCATCTGTCCAACCATCATTCTGTAGATCATCGTACTACTTCTTCACTTTATCTTGATCTGGGCCATCTGGGTGAGCTTTTGGGCAAACAGATTGGCAAACCCAAGACAACAAAAAAAACGTCTCGGTTGAACACTGTGGTTCTTGGCAGGTGGCTGCCCAGTTCTTCTTGGCATCAGTAGGGCAACGGGTTGCGGCGCTTGCCGCGCCCGGGTGCGGCCTGTGATTGTGGAGCACCACCACCTTGGGAAGCGAGGTCTACACCGGTGGAGAGCCACTACAGTAAGCCCTTCTGGTCCGTCCTCAAGCGAGAAGTTACGTGCATTCTGAAACATATGAACACGTCTGGATCTCGAAAATCACATGTCAAATCCAAGTGGAACACACAGAAACGAGACACAGTGGACATATGTACATGTCAAATCCAAGTTCAATTGTCAAATATCATATCCCAGGCATTCCAAGACCATGTAATTATGGAAGATATGCCCACATTACATGGATGGTCGGGGTATGACCATTATACAATTATGACAATCTTTCATCATTTCCCCTTTCGAGAAAGTTTGCGTCAAGAACTTGTCCCACTTAGGTCACCCGATCGATCGGGCATCCAAGAGAAAACAACGAATACGTTTAAGTTTGGAGAAATCAACAACGACATACGTTTGCGAGGCAGGTCGGAGGCGTTTTGTTCGGCTCTTTTTGATTGAGACATGTTCTGCACCCGAGGGTGGCAGCAACACACTCAATGGGGAAAACCACAGGCGCCCACCTGGTCGCCGGGTGGGCGAACGCTGCTTGACCTGGGGCGTCTTCGTTGTGGACCTTGCGGGGAAACATCCCCCCCGCTGCACTCAGCAGTCCCATGGATGCCAGCGACCGTGCCGCCAGCCGCCTGCCCGCCCTCCACAACCTCTCCCATGGCACCGCAGGCCCTGCAGGCCAAGAGTTGTTTCATCCTCCGAGGAACAAAAACTGGGCAGTTTGGGCATCATAGGAGGGCCACGCCTCAGCGAACCGCGTGCGTGCGGCACCTCGCGATGTGCTCGGACCCATCGCACCCACGCATTGGCACCCGGGTCCACAGGCGTTGGATCGAAAAGGAAAAGGATGGCGTTCGACCCACAAAATCACAGACATAATTCTTATGCAACATGCAATAGCATGCAATAGCATGTCACTAGCTAGCAAGTCTAGCCTCTGCCGTAGGTTTGTACCAGGTCCTCTAGTGCGAAATCTCCTACCGACCGCCATCTACACAGGTATTGGGCTCCCGGACCCGATGCCTGGCATTCAGAGCGAATCAGGTGGAGAGCGACGGGACTGTTTTCTGCCGAATTGGACATGGGAGCTGTCGAACATGTGAGCAGCTTGAAACATCAATGCATATCAACACTGTCCCAGCTCCCAACAAAAAAGCAATCAATTGTGATGTCGGATATGTCTTAAGAGAGGTTCAGAAGCAAATCACAGGAGGTGCAGCCGCTTTGTGGCCCACGGCTGCAAAAAGGTGTCTCAATCTTTTTTGCTTCGTGCTACCACGTCCTCTCCTCTTGCTCTACGGAAGAGTTCACTAGCTTTGGCTCTCTCCGCCTTGACCATGGACGCGGCGAAACTCTAATGCGCCAGCGACGGTGTGGATGGCATCCAGTTGATGCTTCGAACACCTCTGCAAGTGAAGAAATCGATCTTCAGATAGGATCCTGGAAGTCCCTCGGCCAGCCAAGTGTTCTTGGCCATTCGCTGCTCATCCCCTGATGGGCCATAGATCATGGTGAGCTTCCTGGAACACTTGTCCTCCGCCGGATAGATCACTTCGTTCTCGTTCCTAGCTGGGGTGTTGAACAGGTCAAACAGCCTCTGTCTGTTACCACAGTGTACCACTTCTCTGCTTCTCTGCAGCGCTGCGACTTCTACTGGTATCCTCTTGCAGCACTGCTCTGTCACTGCCCCTTGTTCATATAACATCATAATCATGCGCTTCTAGGTGCCACAGTACAATAACATACAATAACCATTGATATGAACCTTCTTCCTCTTCATCCTCCCCATAATTACCAGGTATTACCATGTCTAGCAGTGAATTGGCTGGTCGCTCCAACACTCCCTACACCCACCAGGCGACCCTTTTCACTGTACCCATCTCCAACACTCCCGGCCCCAGAAGAAAAGACAGGGCTCACTATATGTCCTCTATAAACATCACTTTTGAGTATCTCTTCTGGCATACTAATGGAAACTACAAGAACTGTCGGTCGATCGACTCCAAGCGTCACGGCTTCTTTACGTGTCAAACGGACGGGTCCAACTCCCGCCGAGGGGCCCGTTCTTGAGGAGACGGAACTCCACTTGCCCACTCGCGGGGACCTTCACGGTGATCGTTCTCAAGCCCGTCACCGGGCCGTCCTGAAACGGAGCGGTCGCCGCCGAACGCGCCGAGCGGGAGCGGTTCGATGAGGTCGTAGGGTCGAAGGAGGTCGAAAGGGGGGAAGATCTGAAGACACCAGGACCCGGTAGATGGGGTGTCTATTTATAGCCCCTTGGCTGTGATTCGGAGTGTCCATTAACCACTCCTATGCAAAGGTGCATCGCTACTAGGAGCAAGGGCCTTACTACTAGGAACAAAAAGCTATCAATTTTTATTCTAGCTTCTTGTTACTACTAGCGATGCACCTGTTACTACTAGCGATGCACTTTGCTCCTAGTAGCTTCTTGTTACTTCCTATTTGGGATCCTTCGTCCTTCAACCAAAAAACGACCGCCCGCTGTGGCGGACCCTCGATTGACCGCAACGCAGGTTTTTGGGATCGGCGTGATGCGATGTCTCCTCAAGTTGTTCAACTTCCCAGTCGTTGAACTGGC